TAATTAAAATACCAGTGTCAGTTCAAGGTTGGAAAGTGAGACTGGTCCCTCTGCAAACACCGGTAAATATGACCCTTGATTTTGTATGTGGAGGCTGTTATGAATCCATTAGAAATGTACACAGAGATTGCAATTACCTTTGTGATCTGGATTATCTTTGAAGGCAGGCTTAAAAGCATGCTTCCTACTAAAATGACACAGGTTTTTATTTCCAAATCCCCTTGCACAGGATTGCAGACAGTTAGACTTCATCACTATGAAGGAAAAAATGGTATCGCCGCTAAGGTCATTAAAAATAGAACAGAAGAGTGCTTTTATAGGGTGGCTGCTGCCACAAACCTTCTCTCAATTCTTTTCCATCTGCAGGAACTGAACTGATTGTCTAGAAGGGGTCTTTAACTGATTTACAGCCACTGAAGTTTTTTGAAGCACTTATTGCCAAAGTAAACATGAATAAATGTGATTCAGTTGCTATTCTAACATTAACCTCAGCACTTCATTCTGAAACAAGCGATAACACATAACTAGTTATTGCATTTTCTCATAACAAATACTAACTCTTGAATAAATTGCTCATACAACTTCTTACATTAATATCTCAAAAGCATGTCAAAATAAAAAATATCATGTATTGCAGGGCTTTCAAGAAGGACTTTGAAATACGTATCTAGGGATTTTTTAATTTCTGAGAGCTACCAGTTTTATAAGGTATTTAACTGAATCAAGTCATCTGCTCCAAGGCCATAATTACCTTTGAGAGTGGAGAATGTTCAGGGATCCATCAGTATTCAAGGCATAGGAGGAATACTAAATCTTGTGATACTGGGTATTATTTCCACTTCCACACTAGGCCATACAGACTGAATCCACATGGGAAGCGCCTCTTCCAAATGAATCTTAGCCCTCACTTAAAACACAGACCACGACGGCTGCACAATTGTGTTCTGAACAATCTGCAGACTGTTTTGGGAACCAGCATTACCTTTCTAAATACAGCAGCTAAAATATCTCTTCAGAGCATTCAAGCATGACAAGCACTCTCCTGTTTCCAGTCTCCATTCTTCCAGTTATCTCTATTTATTAATTCTTTCATAGGTTATGAAAATCATAAATCATTAACCAGGAATCTTAATTTTTAATATATACTTGTAAATAGTAAGCAGTCACATTCCTTCTTATAATCAGTGAAGCACATGCTGTGCAGTGGATTATATTCTCATGCTTTTGCTAATAAAAACCTCATCTTAAATCACACCACTTTCAGGACTCAGTACTTAGGGATATTGTGATTTGTGTCCCACAACCCTTATCTAATGATTGCATAATTTTTGTCTTTTCATCTTTTATCATCTTTAAATACTTCCCCTTTACTAAGGCTCATTTTTAATGTATTGCATATGACAAGTAACCCAACACATGCTGAATTTTTCTACTATGAATTAATCACTGAAAAGAGTGGGGAACAAACAGAGCATTATTAGTGCATGCTGGGAGGCTTCTAACTCAAATCTGTGGCGTTCCCTGCTACTGCCCCACACCAAGGCTAGGTGAAGTGCTCATTAATATTTCATTCTCAGGTTTGAGGTGTGTTCTCTGGCTGCCCAATTTCCTCCACTTGATTTTATGGCAGAAAGCAAAACCACATTCCCACCAGCTGTTCCCCAGTCACAGCCTGTGTGTCTCTCCTCTCCTTCTTCTGAACGGTTTATCTTTCATATGCCACCCCCACAAGATTGGGCAACAGCCACAGGCACAAGGTTTAGATTCGGATCTGAACAGCCTCAGAGTCTCCAAATCTGGGAATGTATTTTGGCTCAGGATGATCAACGTTCAAGACTCAGACTTCTTCCTCCCTTTACAGAGGAGGAAACATGCAGTATAGGGAGAAGCTGTGTGGCTACAGTATAAACCTGACAAAGCTGCATTAACTGCCAAATACTGTATCCTGCATAAATTTTCGCCTACACCATGGGGCTAATGGGCTAATGTTGTAGCACACAGATCACAAGACAATCCTTTTTTCTCCTTGGATTTTGAAAAATTGTCTTCGCATTCTTTCTTAGAATAGTCAGTGTTGATTCAGTGCTATTCTCTTTATATTGGACAACAAGAATCACTCTGCCATCCCTCCCACCAAAAAGGAAGAAAAGCTACTTGACCTATTTATAAATATCCTAGAAGAAGGCTTCCTTATATCATGGTTATATGATTCATAATAAGGTAAATACTACATTATTATTAAGTTTTCAAGTAAATAGCAGTAAGAAGCAAGACCCTGCACAAAAAGGGTAAAATTACTACCTTCTAAGCAATTTAGTAGATGGTATGTATATTTCTCTTATTATTAAAATTTTTACCAAAGAAATCTTATAAACTAGAAGAGATTGAGTCTTCCATTTAAGTGGAGGTGTCTCCCATGGTCCTCATTGCTAGCATGTTAACTTTTCATAGTGGGTAGGCTTTTAAAAAAGACAGAGGGATATTCCCTGTCATCCCATGTTCACCCCACTGAGCCTGACACAGTTCTCCCAGGCTGTCAAGGTAACAGCATGAGTGGCTGTGCATGTAGTAGAGTACCCCAGACAGTGACGGGAGACACTTTGGAAAGCCTTCCGAGATCTCCTCTTCTCACTACTCATTCCCATATTGCACACAGCCATCACCTGCCCCGAGACATCTGGCGAGACCCACTGCCATATCTCTTGCCCTTCCTGTGTTCCCCACATCCTGTGACTTACAGAGGAGGGAGAAAGGATGTGGCAAGCCTTAGCTGGATACTGAGGCTTGTTCCAAATGCTGTGGTTGATACTGTGATTGGGTGTTGGTCATGGGGTTGAATGCCTTATTTTCCTTGAAGATTTACTGGGAGAAGCAACACTTGGGACTCTCTGTGTCATCTTCCAGCGAAGACCCTGAGAGGTGTAAAGGCAGCAAAGATTTCATCTCTGCGCCTCTCCACAGTAAAAAGGATCACACCGTGCCTTCCCCATGAAGCCACAGATAGGAATCCCAACTGGATAATGACTTGAAAATTAAACTGAAATTTTCACATTTAGCTATACTGTGGTGTCTGTGTGCCTCATTGTGTTCACACCAACATGGTTCCAAGCAAATAAAGAGAAAAGGCTCAAAAGCTGGGCTTCAGGCCAGTAAACACCACTGCTGTTGAACTACATTATGGATGAAGCCACTTTAGTTGCTTATAACTTCCAGACAAACAGGGTGGGATGTTGCAATTACATGACTAACGTCTCTAAAGGTTTTTCACCTAAAATTTAACTCTGTAAGAAATATTAATTCTTGACCTATTTAATGAAAAATGTTTCAAAACGATACGTATACCTTGCTCATGAGTATGACATAACACCATGTAATCTATGGAAAAAACAGCATTCTTCAATAATAATCATTGAAATCCCTTTACTATGAAAACGTTTACATCAGTCTAAAAAATGCTGTGACAGAACAGAGTTGTGTTGTCACTTGAAAGTTGCTAAATGCAGGAAGAGTAAATTTTACCAAAGAAACCCAAAGTGGTGGCTTCCAGAACTCCTACAGAAGATTTTTACCCAGGCTTTGCATATAATGAACTCTGTATGATAACATGCAAAACAAAAAAAAATCCTTTTGAAACAGCATGCTGCAAGCCAGTGGCTGTCAGGAGCTGTAACTGATAACTCACCTCTCTACTACTGGTACCTAACAGGCAAGAAATTGGATATTAAAGGTAGTCAGCTAGCTTCAATATCCCCACCAGTATTTCTTTTGACAAAATGATCCGGTAACAGAGAAGACTCATAATTTAAGCTAAGATGGGTGCTTCATCTCTCAACAAATTCAGAGCAGGATGACAGACTCTCTGGAGAAGGATTTGAAAGACCAAAGCTATGAGACTCCTCTCTCCATGGACTGTACGGAGCTTAGTTTCACTGTAATAGTTATATGGCAATTGTCAGTCAGACCTTTCCTTCTCCTCAAGAAAAACTGATATCACAGGCATATTTCTGATTGGAAAGACAAACAGATGATCCCAACTAAGGTTAGCATTTCTTCTAAGCACTAGAAGCGTATTAGATACTCATAATGTCATTCTGAATGTTATTTGTGAAATAGGGAAGTGTATCAGACTATTACACATGCATTAACACCTACACATATGTAAAAATACACTTTAAAAAGACTTCATATGTCAACTTTTCAATAAATAAAATATTTAGCTTAACATGATGGAACTCACATTATGTTTTCTTTTAAGTTCAGTCTCTGTCACAAAAATGAAGTTTCAAGCAGCTGCTTTGTCTGCCTGACACATTCACAACCTCCTTAACATTTCTGTGTTCACCCATTCTAAGATTTCTTTGCTGTTTGTTTTTCTTTTGTAATCCAGGATGCAGTTAGTTCTCAGCTGATACTGCAACTTTCTGAAGAGAGCAATCCTTCTTCATAAGTCTGGCTGAGGCCAAAAATAGCGCTGTCAGCTTCTGACAGGCTGAACTTAGCCAAGTGAAATGTTTTAACATTTTATCAACTTAATGAACAGGCTTATTTATAATGTGGACAACTTTACTGTCATTGTATGCAGACTGCTGAATAGATTATTGAATGCATTTGTCTGGGGAATAATGAATATATAAAGAAATGTAATTTTTGACCAAAGGGGCAGTTTTCTTATACACTGTAAACAATTTTAAGATGAAATATTCTTACCCTGTTTGAAATAAAGAAGTGGCTTAATGGTAACATCTATAACTGTGAAAATACCTCAAGAAGGGAACTTCACAATGATAAATAACTGACCTCCAAAACATAGAAATTTGCAATATGCAAAAATTACCATTAAAAAACCATTTTAAATGTAACTATTAATGCAATACTGGAGATAAAAATGTAGACTAAATATCTACAGATATATTTAGCACTTTATAGTAGATGAGGGAGGGTTAAAAATACAAAATAATAAGTCTAACAGAAAAAAAGAGTGTGGGTTAACAATTGCTTACCCTCTTTTCTGCTACCTCATCCTCTCCTGTAGACTCTTTGCCATCATGTTCATCTCTCAGGCTTGGCATATGTTTTTTGTGTGCTGGCTCTCTGTTTAAAGTTGTATATCCTACGTGTTCATAAATAGGATTTATTGTCATCTTGGCAATGTATTCAGCTGCTTTCGTTTCAATATAAAGAGTAATCAATCCATCTGTCACCAGGTCATGGATGGACTCAAAACGTTTCTCCCCAACAAAGTGCTTTCCATCGTAGTACAGTCTGAAGTTTCTGGTTTGACTTCCAAATCTGCCTCAATGAAATGGGAAAGTTTTTTTTTTAAAGAACAGTAAGCAGAATAAAGAAGAGTAAGCAAGCCTTTGCAAACAATAAAAAACACTTTATCACTTAAAGCTGTGACTCTGCTCTGTGTCTGCTCCAGACGAGAATGAAAAACTCAATTTCTACTTAGCACAGATAGGAAGGAGAGATCAACAACAACTGCAGATAGATAGCCAAAACAGTGACTGTCCCAGAAGGAGCTGTTTGTTCTCTTATTCTTTTACCCCTTCATTATCCCATGGAAAAACTGAAAATTACTTCACACTCTTTATGGTTTTTTTAGTACTTTACTATTGCATCGCCGTAGTCAATTTGCTTGGCTTTGATATGAAGAGTTCTCATAATAGAGTCCTCTATTACAGTTGATCAATACAGAGTTTTGATGCCGTCTCGGACCTCTGCGCCCCTGCTTGCTTGCAGGAAGAGGCCATTCAGGGTTCAGCTGAGCTTCAGTGCCAACAATTACACTGAAGCAGAACTGCTGCCAGAACTGGAGCAGCACAGGACAAAATGGCACAAGGGCAAGCATTCTTTATTCCTGGCCAAAGGCCAAGGACTAACTCTTCAAGCTTTGTACAAAAGTCCTTCTGTGTTATGCTTGTTAAGTCCTGAGCTTCAAGCAAATCTTTGTAACATACAGGATATATAACGTGAAAGCTATCTGACACTACCCATTCTGCTGTCAGGGTGGAATAGGATTTCAGTACAGGCTCTTAGCAACCATAAGAACACCAGTTTTACCTGAATAGTAGCATATTTTAAAAAAATCCTGTCCTTAGAACGTGCAACAATTTTCTGCCTAAAAGCAATCTAAATGTGTGAAAGTACACGAGTGTTTGCGCTTGGCAACAGCCAACGCATTTCCTGCGGAGAAGATGGAGGCAAGAAGCTGTTTTCATGGCTCGTTCCAGTGTTGTTCCTTGGCCAGACAGCAGCAAGGGTGGCTGCCCAGGGTATTGGCCCCCTTGGGAGGTCAGATCTGCCAAAGAAATATTAAAAACTAAATTTGAAACTATGGATTGTTTTCATTTTACAATCAAATGCTTCACAGGAGATGTTAAGGAGCAAAATAAATACTGGTGCTTTTGCTGAAGTGGCTCCTTTCCAGTAGGGCCTTGCCAAATAGGGGGAATCATAATTTCAGACCTTGCCTCAGGTGAAATATTGCACTCTTCTTGCAAACATGGGCAAACCCACTTCTTCTGTGATGTATTTTTTTTTTTTGTGTTCTGAATAAAAAAACCTTCCCATCCCCCTATCAATAACCTGACAGTGACTGTAACTTCAGGAGCTGCTATTTTTACATAACACTGAATGTCAGGGGGCTCTCAGGAATCTGCATCTTGCTCAGTAAGAAAAGAGGACATGATGTGTAGGAGCTACCTAGGCATTTCACTAGAAATGAAACGGTACTTCTGTGCATAATTTAACACCACATAAACTAGAAGTTCAGTGAATCAAACTGAAAAGCAAGAAATTACAAAATGACATAAAGAAAAAATTTTTACCTAATACTTATTTCATCCCAAGATGCAGTCCTGAGTGAATACAAGTAATTCAGAAAAGATAATGTCCTAAGTTACAGCAGGAGGGGTAGGAACATATGTAGGCTCATTCTTGAGAGCATCTTTCTACTCAGTGTAGTACGTGACAGACAAGCTTTGACCATGAGATATGTTCCTTGCATAGCCTCTGCTGCCACAGAAGTCAACACGAGCAAAGAGTGCTCAGCACTTTGCAGTGCCAAAGCAATCAACCTTCATTGTCTTCTGCCCAAGTCAGTGGGAATAAAGCACATGGAACACATACAAGCCCTGTGACGTTAAAATTTGACAGGAGAACCAAATAAGTTTGAAGGTGAAGAACAATGGGCCTTAAGTGACAATATGCAAGAGAATTATTTTTATTAAGAGATGTAGCAGGTGAACTGCTGTTCTAATCAGTAACATATGCTCTGACAGTACTTATAGCAGAGTTTTAAACAAGCTGAAGGTCACTTACTGCTCTTAGCTTTCTAGAAGAGAAAGTATTACACTAATCTTATCAAGAGAAGATAAGGCACAGAAAAGCTTCTCAGGGCCTATTAGTAAGTACACATGGTGTCTTGATTTTAGTAACATCCTTCAGAGTCTAAAACAAAGTTCTGAAGAACAAGATGCCCAAATGCAAAGAAAAAGTTTCTTAAAGTACTAAGGCTCTTCCCATCAGGGTCAATAGGTGCATGGTTCTACCCAGTTATGATTTACCGAGCAGCCCCTATGCTGCACATTGGTTTAGACTGCTGTATATAAAGCGAGTATTTGAGAGATACTACAACGAATAGGATTTCCAGAAGTACATAATCTTTATCCCACTGCTCCTGACCCACATTTCAGCACGAGTATCTCATAGGTAATGTTCCACAGTTTTAATTCTTTAACAGTATCCCAACATCTCTCCCATAAACTTCACAGACAGATGGAAACATTCTCCTGTACACATCTGGGGAACTGCACATCAATTTCTTTTGGCATTCAAAGATTCATTCAACTTTCTTGGTTTAAACTACATAGGAGCAATTTAACTATTACCAATTAAAGAAAGGTATTTAAACAAAGAAGTTACTCTGCGTCAGTGTCATAACCACTTGGAAAAGGTGCTTGTGTATCAGCTGCAGAAGGTTAACATTGAATGGGTTTACCTTTATCTGATTTCCCATTTGTTCCAAATCAAACTTTTTTCCCTCTATTCTTTTCTCATTGGACACATTGTGGGGAAATGTATTGTTTTCCAAATAGAATCCTATCAGCAACAAGGAGGAAAAAAACCCCACAAATCCATGAAACATCAATCTCTTGCGAAGTCTGTACCATCAACGATGTCTCACAATCCTGTGTTGCTTCTTTCAAACTCGTTTACATTACTTTCTGACTACACAGTGGTACTATTTTGATCAAATTACAATGTAAATGCAAACAGAAATGTCCGATTGCAAATGATCAATTAAATTTTAATCTTCAGTCCCTTCAGTTTTACTTAAAACTACAGTTTACATTTTTCCATTAGCAAGAATATTTCATTATACTTACTTTCAATAACATTAGTGCAGCCTGGTTAATTATACATCACCGTGGCAACTAAGTAGAGCCAAGATTTTGTATTTCAGCTTCCTGATGGTATCTTCCTAAAGGCAAGTGCTAATACCAGCTGTTTTTCATTTAAGAAATAGAAAGCAGGACACAGATAATGTATGTTCTCTTTTGGTCTAAACAGGGGAACATTAGATGTTTTTTCCAAGCAAAAGAAATAGACCTCTGACATGTCAAACAGTCTCATTGTGTCCACTGTGCATTTGTTTGCAAGCAGTAGGACTACAGATAAAAGACTTCTTTTATTCCAAGTTGTCTGAAAAGCAATCACTCTGTCTAGTCCCTTTGGTTGCCAGTATGGCAGAGTGGATAACAACGTGGGAAAGCGTATTAAATGGTAGAGCAAATGTGGCTAGTAATAAAGGACTGAGGAGTTGAATTAGGTATCATAGCATGAGAGAGACAGGCTTCAGACTCGGCCACCTACTCTGTATGTGGCATTCACTGGTGAAACAAAAGAAGGAAGTGAAGGACCAAGAGCCCATCCTTATTTTCTTACCATCTCAGATGGGTTTTAAAGTCCACATACAGAATTGTACAGTAGCTATTCACCTCTTTCACAGCATATTTTATGATGAGAAGAGTATCTAGACAAAGACATTATCTAAAATGTGTAGCTGCAACCAGACCACAAAGTTAGTACCCCTTGGGGCTACTCATGTCCTCACGAGTTTCAAGCAACTTCATACACTGAGCTGGGAAATCTTAAGTTCTGTACATGTGCCTGAAGGTCACTTGGACTTACTCTTGCCTTGGAGAAAAAGCATCTTAATGTACTTTGCAGCCAGAAGGTTGAAATGTAACTAAAAATTAGGTGCCAGAATTTCAGTTCTAGCTTCTGAAAACTCAACCAACACTGAAGATCAGTCTTGACACTCCATAAAAAGTGACAGAAATATAAGCAATCTTGCAATCAGGAATGTCTCCTAATCATGCTGTGTTCATGTGAGAGAAAACAAATTATTCCACAGATACTCTTTTGGCGCATTTCCTTGTCAAAGAAGCACAAGTCTTGCATGCAGCCAAAACCTCTTTCACACAGTTACCCCTGAAGGTCTCCAGCTCTTGAAAGCAGCTCATTTTGGTGTTTGTTTTTTATTATTATTATTTAATGGCAACATTTCTAAGGATGGTCAAGGAATTGTGGAACTTGCATCTTGCTAGAGTACCTGCTTGACAAATGTAATCATCTCCGAAACCTTAGTAGTAGTTTACAAGAACACAGTTTGCATAAATGAAATCAAATGCTTTAGCGATTGAAAATAAAGGTTCATTTTATACCAGGAGAGCCAAAAAATTCTCATTGTCTGATATAGTTGGGAAAGGTGCCAGAGTACAGTTACTATAGATTGTGTTCCTGTGCCATTTGGAAGGGTAGCATTGGCTGGCTGGCTGACTGTTGCTTGATGAACATTAATTAGGTATAAAGTTATCCCTAAAACCTGATCAGACCCATGCTCTGGCTGATTGCATGATAGTTTAATTTAGCATGGAAGAAATGTGGCATCCTTCAAAACAGAAAACAAATCCCAGAGCTAGAACTGCAACGTGTCTGCCCCATGCCAATTCAGACACAACCTTCAACTCACTCTGTCTAATTGGGATCAAGCAAAAAACTTGCAGCTGGTGCTGTACCATTAACAACAGTTTCCTGGCAACTCTCAATTGAGACTGAAGACTGTATACCTGTCTCACTGTTCACACTTCCTTGTTCAAGAGGGAAAAAATACTGTTCAAATAGCATGCTGCATACAGCAGGCAGCAAGGATGAGAGCAATGGTACCTTCCTGCGGACCACGAGCACTGTCAGGGACAAGGCAAGGGAGAGACAACTGCTCT